GAAAAGAAGAAAAACAGACAGAAATATTTAAATGAAGTGGAGTTGCCAAAAATAGCCAATGAAAACTTAGAGGCCCTAGACAGACCTATTACATAAAAGGAAATCACCATGGCCCTAAAAAATACAGCTATAGTAAAGAGCCCTGGCCCAGACGGATATACTGTGGGTTGTTATAAAAAATTTATAGATCTCCTAGTCCCTAAAATGTGTGGATAAATGAATGCAATAGGGGAGGGGCTAGAAATGAGGGAGGCGTCATGGCAGGTACATATGATTGTACTCAAAGAAGGGAAAGATAGCACACAGTGTGCCATTTACAGGCCAATATCCTTACTAAACATTGACACTAAAATTGTAAGCTAAGGTATTGGCAACCAGACTGAAGGAGTTGATACCAGAGTGGATACACCTGGATCAGGTAGGATTCATTCCTGGAAGAGAAGGTAGGGACAATGGCCTGAGATCATTGATCCTCCTACAAAGGGTAAAAAGAGAGAAACTGCCGACATTATTCCTGTCAATTGATGCCGAAAAGGCTTTTGACAGGGTTAACTGGGCTTTCATGATCGATATGCTAGAGGTATTAGGAATAGGGCCTGAAATGTTAAGGTGGATAAAAGGGTTTATAGTGCTTCGTTGGTGGTGGTCAAGGTCAATGGTTCCTTCTCTCAGTTCTTTAAAATGTTTAATGGAACTGGACAAGGATGTCCACTTTCTATTTTATTATTTGTCTTATCCCTGGAACCTGTCCTGGCGGGGGTAAGAGTGTGTAGACATAGCAGGAATAAAGATAGGGGAAGTGGAGCATAAGGTGGCAGCATACGCAGACGACGTGTTGTTTTATATTGTAAGTCCTAGCATAACGTTGCCTAATTTAATTTAAAACAGTACGACGAGTTATCAAATTTGAAAATAAACCCTGCAAAGTCAGAGATCTTAAACATCAATATACCAAAGGTTGAGAAGCTACAAAAATACTTTCTATTTACTTGGAGGGAAAAGGAAATAGGTTACTTGGGAATAAAACTAACTCCTTCAATAAAAGCACTGTACCGGGAAAATGATATCCCGTTATTAAACAAAATAAAAGAGGAGCTGGGGAGATTGTCAAAAAAATTGGAGCTTCCTGGATAGGTCGTATAAATCTGATAAAGATGGTGATAGTACCAAAAATCCTGTATAAATTTCACGTGCTCCCAGTACACCTACCAGGATCAATCTTCGCGGTAATAAAGAAGATGATACTTAAGTTTATCTGGGCAAGCAAAAAAACGGGAATTAGGTATGAGGTACTGTGTAGGGCAAAAGGGAATGTGGGCTTGGGTATGCCCACTGTTAAGAAATATTATCAAGCGGTGATATTATCATGAATAATAGATTGGAAATTTAATTCACAAGGGAAAGGTTGGGTGAATATTGAAGGGATTTTGAGTGGGGGCACAGTTAGGGAAGATGGTTTGGGTACCACATAAATATTGCACATTAGATGTGACTATTAGCACACTGACAAAGAAAGTTTTTTAAGTGTTTGGGATAGAATGTATAAGCAAAAGGGATGGAAATATAATTAAGTTATGATTCCCTTGGCAGGAAGGATATGATTCCCCTAGGGAAGGATAATATTTCTGGGAAATGGATTAAAGATAAGAACGCACGTTTGAAGGATATACTGAATAAGGGGAAATTGCCCATGTTTTCAGACTTAAAAAAAAAAGGCAGTATGGCCAATTAGGTCATTTTGTGCTCCCACAACCACTGAGGATGTCAGAGGATCTGTATCCAATTGAAAAACTGCTGAATGTAACTACAGTTCCTAAACAGGGAACCTCCAGGATTTAAAAGATACTTATGGATATGGAGGGTACCTCAGTTCTTGGAAAAATGGGAACAGGAGCTTGGAACAAAATTAAATGAGCAACAAAAGAATAAAATATTTAAATTAACACATGAGGTGACGAATATGAGCACAGTTGAAATGAATTATAAATGCTTGGCTAGATGGTATATTACACTGAGCAAGGCACATAAACAAGTAGATGTTTCACCTTTATGTTGGAGAGGATGTGGGGAAAAGAGAACAATGGAACACATATGGTGGGATTGCCCAAAAATACAGGATTACTGGAAGGGAATATTACAATATATTCAGGAAATATGTGGGATTACTGTACAGAGAGACCCATGGACATGTATATTTTATAAATTTGAACCTTTAGTAAAACAACATAAGAACAGGGTACTATATCATCTAATCATTGCAGCTAAGAGCTTGATTTTCAAATTTTGGCTAGCCCCAGATCTGCCAAGAATAAATGACTGGGTTAATAGAGTGGAAAATATTTACAGGATGGAGGAGTTCTGTCATACTGAGGAAGATAGAATAGAAAAATTTAGGAAAACATGGAGTAGATGGTTAATTTTCAAAACATCAAAAAGATATCTACAACTGGCTGGAATATAGGTGGAAAAGAATTAGAGGGAGTTCTAATGGAGTACCCGACAGAGAGAAGGAAATAGAAGGGAAGGGATACAGAATACAGATATAGATAGATAATCACAAGAAAGAATAGAAACTATCAAATTGGATATGGAGGACGGTGGTGATTGAGGGGGGGTTGGGAGGGAGGGGGTTGTAGGGGATAAAATGATGCAATTGGAAATTATGTATTGGCGAAGTGATTTTTATTCTTGTGTTCATTAGATACTCTTTGTATTGAAAACATTTAATAAAAGATATAATAAAAAAAAAAGAAAAAAAAGAACATTACAATTTTTCAGTACCTGAAGCCTGATTCCTCATATATTTGTATGCCTTAACTTATTTGAAAACTTTTAATATAGTATGGTGGTTTAGCCCGTCTGTATTGTTTGTTACTGTACAAGGTGGGATTTCCATTAAACTTGTAGTGGGAAAAACAGTGGGCAGGACCATAACAGGGATAGTAGGCATAAACTGCCAGGTTGAAATGAATTATTGTAGCCAGCTTGCTGAAAGGTCCTTCAAGGTCCACAGAAATGTCTTACTTTCGGAGATATTGGAGAATAGAAATACTCCCTACTCTGTCTCACAGTGCAGGGCTTTTGACCTAAGTAAATGATCACTAGGTCCAAGTGTTTTGTGAGGCTGGAATATACAAATGATCCAGAAGGTTCAGTGGGATGTCTCTAGTGGCATTGACAGCAGTTTGGTTGTGGCATGCAAGATGCAATATGCAACATTACAGTTCCTACTATTTACTTTTTTGATTAATATTTTTACCTACATTTAAGGAAATGCAAATGTGTCTATTTGAAGCAGTGGAGAGATTTTCCCTCTGAGACCTTGACTCCATGTTTACTATATGATTGATTATCATGAGAACAGTGGTGAACCCAAGGTCTTTGGGGGAAGATAACCCCTGAGGTTCTTTAGAGTCTAAAGTAGTTGACAGGTTAATTTGCCTTCCTGCATCCTCTCAAAGTTGATTAAATTGTCGGTTGGTATTCATATTATGGATCCTCATTTTTAACAAGCAGAACATTCCGACACAGGTACACCATAGATCTGAACTTCACAAAATGTTAGATGTCCTGTTTTTCCAGATAGGACAATGTTCACATATCGACCCTTCATATCAAAACAATGGAAAGTCAAAGTGGTACTTAGTGGTATTGCTGTAATCTGAGCACATCTGGAAAAAAAAAAATCAATTAACAGAGATTTTATGCAGGAAGAAGGGAATTGCAAAGAGAGAAGAGCACTAGAAAGAAAAAAGGTAGAAGACTAAAGCTAAGAAGAGGAAAAATAAAAGCATAAATAAGGAGAAAAGGTCACAGAAGAAGGAAATGGAAGAGGAAGGAAGGGGAAAGAACAAAACAATGGAGAAGAAAAGCCGAAGTATATGGAATACGAAGGTACAGAACAAGATTAAGAAGAAGCAAAATAGATAAGGTAGGATATAAATGCATATGGGGGGGGGGGGGGGGAGGGAAACAAAATGAGAAAAGGAAAACGAAAAGTAGATGATGAATATGGAAAAAGAGGGGTCAGAACAAGACTAGAAAGAAAAATCATAGACAGGGTAGAGTAGTGCAAGAGGAGAGGACAGAACGAGAAAAGGAAAATTAAATATAGAAGAAAGATTTAGAAAAGGAATTAAAACAAGATTAGAAAGAAGAAACATAGAAATAGAACAGTAAGGAAGAGGAGGGGAGGGGACAGAACAAGAAAAGGAAAAAGAAAAGCAGAAGATATAGAAAAGGAAAATCAGAACAAGATTAGAAAGAAGAAACATAGAAATAGAAGGGTATGGAAGAGTAGGGGAGGGGACAGAACAGGGCAATGAAGAAGAAAAGTAGAAGAAAGTCATGGAAGAAGAGGGGACATAAACAAGACTAGGAAGAAGAAAAGAATAAGGATAGAGAGGAGGAGGGGAGGCACAAAGGAAGTCAAGAAAGATTAAAGGAAAAAGAATATGAAATACATAGCTCTCAACTGTCCCTGATTTCGAGGGACTGTCCCTCATTTGGAACAAAGTCCCTCTGTCCATCTTTCCTCCTCATTTGTCCCTCATTTTGGCTTGGTGTACTATATATACTCATAATAAAAATACACTATCAAAAAGTGTTTTACAGTGTTAAACCTTTCATCCAATTTATAGATTGTAACATTTGTATCTTTCAAAAGCCAATAAAAAAGGAATAGTATGGTAGAAAGAAAAAAGGACTTGTGGATTTAAACAATCATTTTCTGTGTATTAAGTATCCTTGTAAGGGGTATGGCGGGGGGGGGGGGGGTGTCCTATGAATACATACTTGTGTTTATAGGTGTCCCTCATTCCCATCCCAGTAAGTTGGGAGGAATGAAAAGAAGATAATAAAGAAAGAGGCAAGACAGCAGGCAAGAAGTATAGGAGCATGAAAAAGCACTGGGAGGAGCAGTACAAATGCAATAGTGGAGAATGAAGTGGGGAGAAAAAAGAAAAGAGAAAAATTGGAAAGAGTTTTGGGCAGATAAAAGTTTACCTTGCATTATTGTTCCCATTGTTGGTTAGTGAATCTCCAATAAGAATTTCTGCTCCATTAATGTACTCTGCACAGCAGTCCCCTCTGTTGGTGATCATTATATGGGATATTTTATAGCTTGCCATTAAATCCACTCTCCACCAGGGTGACAGTTCAGCTTTACTAGCGAAGCAGGACCAGGAGACATAGCGCGGATCTGAATTCCCATCTATAGCATTCAGTCCTGAAGTTAAAAATTCATAACTTGACGACTGAGTTGCGCGGCCCTGAAGGGCAAGATTATCTGGATAAAGAGAGAGAAAAATTATTCAGAGAGGATCTAAGAACTTTTATAGATGTTGGGCCATCTTACTGCTAAAATACAGCACTTTCAAAGATAATTTGAAATAATCAATAATACATATTCAACTACATGCTTTCAGAAGAAAATAAGGATTTTGATATAAGCTACTTTTTTTATTGCAGCCATAATAATTGTGAATAACCGATGTATATCAATCTTCTCTTTAATACAAAGTCCAAATACAGAGGCTGCAATTGCTGATCTCTATCCGGAAACACTAGCTAACTGTCTATCATGCTGATGTAACCACTTTATGCAGCGTTATTTACCCAGAACAAATATATATATCAAGTGAGGTCAGCACAGCCAACCTCTTTGGTGCTTCAAACCAGCCTCAGGGTTTCAAGCTCTCCCCTTTATGTTAGAACATCCACCTGCCCACCGAGCAGCTTAGTAGAACTTGTGTGCTTGCACTTTATCAGTAATTCAATAAATAGGGAATAGGGATATCAGATTAGCATGACATCCAGGCAGCTAGCATTGAAAGAAGGAGAGGCCAGCAATGAAAGTGTGTATATATATATATATATTATGTGGCAGTGCGGTGTCCTGCCACGGTCAAAATCAAGCTGAAAACCCTGGATTCTCAACCAGGCAGGTTGAGGGGCTCCAGAAAGTTGATGTATTGCAGAGGAAACTGGCTTTTTGGTTTCCTCATTTATTCATTAAGTCTGTTTTGGGATCTGGAGCCTGGAGATTTCAAAGAGATCTGGGAGGGATGAAATCTCCAATCCGGGGTCCATGTTTTGAGAACCCCCAGCACACTGATTGCACAGGTGTGTGCAGGCCTTTTTATAGAGGCCTAACCATAGTTCTGGGCTCCACCCCGGCAAACGGAGTCAGGAGGGCTCCACCCCGGCAGATGGGAGGTCGCTGCTTTGGAGTCAGGTGGAAGCCAGACTAGCTGTGTGTTAGTGGCCATAATCTGGGAAGAGTCTGCAGGAGACAAACATTGAACTGTGTACAAGCCAGGAGGCTGAATACTGTTAATTTGCTTGATGTTGGATACCCCTGCGTGGGAAGCATTTTTCTTTATGGAACTTTTTTCTGTTAAATAAAAGTGGGCAAAAAAGCCCTTAAAGAAGCGAGTTGCTGTGTGCTTTAACAAGAAGAGCTCTACCATTTAAAGCGAGTTCCCACAATATATATATATATATATATTTCTTTCAAAAGTGATTTCCTTTAAACATATCACCAGCTTAAACTAAGTCTTGTCAATTTGCAACGGTTTCTAGATAGCGACTTGGCTTATGTTTGGTAGAGCTATACTGAAGAATGTAGGCCTTTGCTTTAAGGCTTCATCTGGCTGTGACATCATCTCTGGCCTGTACTCTAAATTAATTCAATACCCAAATTTCACAATGTTTTCTGGGTAAGAACTCTGGGAAGTATCTGATGCTGGATATTTGACACGAGTGCTGAACAACTCCTAGCAAGGGCAACCATAGTCATCCTGATGGACCTCTCACTTCAGCTTCTTCAAAGAATGTATATGGTCCAAGTACGTAAATTGACTTACCTGAAATAAATAAATAAACAATTGGAGATTTATACATTTGACCCTTCTATGCATCTCTAAAACATTTGAGAATACTGAAGTGGGCCCTAGAAATGGACACATTTGTGGGCATAAGGCAATAGAACATTTTCCATATTCTTTAACAGAAATATTTAAAAAATTCTCTTTCTTTCTCCCATGGAAAAAATGGCAAAACCTGACAAATTCTGGTAACTACTCTGCAGTTCATAGCTATGGCTGGTAAAATTCATATTGTAGTTATTTGGAGAGCACTAAATCTGAGGCCCTCAAGAACAGGGAAAACTCGATAATGGCCAGAAAAGATTAGTTCTATTAGCTCTGACAGCTGTGCTTTGATGACTCTTATACCGTAGGATTCCTTAGGAATAGGATAATTTGAATTTTGTGAGTCCCTCTAAAGTAGAGGTACAATATACCTGTAACTTTTTTTGTTTTCAAACAGAGTGAATTAGTTTTAGATCCTCTGTTTCACTCTCAGTTGAGGTTCTAAATACTGCTGTTACTGGGGCAGAAAATGAGGAAAGACCTACATTTTTTTTAAAACAAACCTTTTAGTTACTTTAGTAGGTTTTTACTTTTTTAACATTGCTCATGAGTACCTACCTGCCATAGGAAGTGAGGCCATATAAGCCCTCTACACTTACCGTATGTGAAAGTCATCTAGGATTGTACTGGCATAGCAGATGCTATGGTTATAGCAGTCCATATACTGTATGTGTACAAATATAAAAGCTACACCCCTGTGTAGGAAAGTGTCCCAACAATTGTTTGATGTTTGTGGTCCCTATATTATATTATTCTTCAACCTTCCCATTGTAGTTTATCCTCATTTGTACCTTTTTTTAAGCAGACAAAGTGTTCATTGTTGGACATAGGTGTTCCGAAGATCTGAATTTCACAAAATGTGAGATATCCTGTTTTTCCACGCAGGATTACATTCACGTATCGTCCGGTCATATTAGGACAATGGAAGGTATTAGTGGCAGCCAGCGGTATTGAAGTGATCTGAGCACATCTGCATCAAGAGGATTTATTTTTAAAAAAGGATTGTATTAAACAAAGGAGGCAATTAATCTACAATAGGAGAGCAGGGAATGAAAACTGGAGTGGAAGGAGTTAAAGGTGGAAAAAAAAGGAGGTGAAGGGAGTGGAGGAGGAAGAGGAACATCAGTAGTAGGTATAGAAAGAGAAGGTAGATGAGGCGGAAGGGGAAGACAGAGCCGAGGATAGAGGAAACGTAGTTTTCAGAAGAATAAGTTCACCTTGGATTGTTGTTCCCATTGTTGGCCAAGGAGTCTCCAACAAGTATTTCTGCTCCATTAATAGCCTCGGCACAACAGTCTCCTCTGTTAGTGATCATTATGTGGGAAATATTACTCGTTGCTAACAAATCCACTCTCCACCATGGTGAAAGCTGGCTGGTAGTAGAGAAGCAAGACCCCTGGCTATAGATTGGATCTGTATTGCCATCTATGGCATTTATTGCTGTGCTTAGAGAATTCACATTAATGGATTGAGTTGCACGGCCATAAAGGGCAAGATTGTTATCTGGTAAAAAAAGAGAACAAATATTAGATGATGCTAAACTGTATTCTTTTTTTTTCTACTGAAATGCTGGGATTAAAATAGTTATTTAAATGGACCATTAGCATCCAATTTTTGTACTTAGAATTTCAATTTGTAGGCAATCATCTCCAAAATATTTAATTTGATCTTTGTATTTATTTATTTTTTTGCTTTGTATATGATCTAAAAACTGAATACATTAACATTTTCCAAAAAGAGATACTCTATATATGTTATCAATTTACTTTACATAAGCCAGATCCCAATTTTTTTTTTAACTTTAGATAAGTAAGAGTTAGAACCTCCGACAGGTTTTTGTTGATGCCTGTGTCCTTGTTGAGGAGTCCCTCCCTCACTTCCTGTCCAAGTTACAACATGATCATGGGGACTGGAAGTAAGGGGAAATAATGGCAATAGATGGTGACATAAGTGCAATAAATACATTTCTTGCCAATATAGTGGGGTAAGTTTGGAACCTCTGCCTGCTTTTGTTTGCTGTCTATGTCTCCATTTGAGATTTCCTCCTTTTTACTTATAGGTAAGCTTTATGTTTGGCCTACATTACAAAAGATCTCAAAAACACGCAGATTCACTGTTATAGAAAATATCTAGAAATATTAATTGTGCCTAAGCAGCACCCTGAAAAAAATACATTGTCTTGAATTTTTTCCCTTGCCTAGACAATCTTGTTCTGTAGCCTCATAGCTGTAGGACAGCAGTATGAGATCATCTAAGGGACTGCTGGCTCTGACTGCTAGTCTCAGGAACTTTTGAGTGAGATTTGTTGATGTCAATACTACACTGTTTTCTTTAGAGAGGAAGTTGTACTTGGGGATCTGAAAGGATATCCCTGCTTCATTTATCCTTGTAAATCTAAGGTTTCTGAACCTTTTTTGTTGTTGCTTAATTATTCCTCCACCGTTTATCGGGGGGGGGGGGGGGGGCAGCTCTGATTTGAGGTAGCAGAGTCCTGTTTCAACAAGATATCCACCTCCACACAGAGGTCTGATGCACAACAAGGCATGATAAATCAGTAATGCAGAAAATCTAAAAGGAGACCACAAGCAATACTGGTAACTAGTCCTTCGGCTTCTGCCTGCCTTGTTTTGGGTCATAACTTCCCCTTATGTTTTTTTCATTGTAATTATGCATGTTTATTTTAATGTTTAATTTATAGTGCACATTTACTAATCTAGAGACAGTTCCTTAAGCTGGAGTGTACCTTAATTTCAGTCTGTTTGGATCTAGGCTGTAGCCAGCCTCAGCTTTGTTTGTTATCTGTGTTCAATGGGCTATACAAAAGCCCAGGACATTGATTGCTTCTGCCTGCTGCTGTTGAGTATTCTCCAGTAGTTGAAATGTAATGGGTTATGAATATTTGTCATGTCTTAGCCAGTCACTGATGGGTTTATTCCATTTACAGTTGCAAGAAAAAGTATGTGAACCCCTTGGGATTACGTGGAGTTTTGCATGAATTGGGCATAAAATGTGCTCTGAACGTCATCTAAGTCACAACAATAGAAGAACACAGTCTGCTGAACATAATACTACACAAACATTAGATGTTGCCATGGTTTAATTGCACATAACATGTAAACATTCACAGTGCAGGGAGGAAAAAGTATGTGAACCTTTGGACTTAATAACTGGTTGACCCTCCTTTGGCAGCAATAACCTCAACCAAACGTTTCCTGTAGTTGCAGATCAGACCTGCACAACGATCTGGAGTAATTTTGGACCACTCCTCTTCACAAAACTGTTTCAGTGTAGCAATATTCTTGGGATGTCTGGTGTGAATCGCTCTCTTAAGGTCATGCCACAGCATTTCAATCGGGTTGAGGTCAAGACTCTGACTGGGCCACTCCAGAAGGCATATTGTGTGCTGTTGCAGCCATTGTTTTGTTGAATTACTTGTATGCTTTGGGTCATTGTCCTGTTGCATCACCCATCCTCTGCAGAGCTTCAGTTGGCGATCAGATGGTCGTACGTTTTTCTGCAAAATGTCTTGATAAACTCTGGAATTCATTTTCCCATCAATGACAACAATCCGTCCAGGCCCTGAGGCAGCAAAGCAGCCCCAACCATGATGCTCCCTCCGCCATGTTTTACAGTGGGGATGAGGTTTTGATGTTGGTGTGCTGTGCCTTTTTTTCTCCACACATAGTGTTGTGTGTTCTTCCCAAACAACTCAATCTTGGTTTCATCTGTCCACAGTATATTTTGCCAGTAGTGCTGTGGAACATCCAGGTGCTCTTTTGCAAACTTCAAACGTGCTGCAATATTCTTTTTGGACAGCAATGGCTTCCTCCGTGGTGTCCTCCCATGTACTCCATTCTTGTTTAATGTTTTCCTTATTGTAGATGTGTCAACAAAAATGTTAGCATGTGCCAGAGATTTCTGTAGGTCTTTAGCTGACACTCTGGGATTCTTCTTTACCTCGTGCAGCATTCTGCACTGTGCTCTTGCAGTCATTTTTACAGGGACGGCCGCGCCTAGGGAGAGTAACAACAGTGCTAAACTTTCTCCATTTGTAGACAGTCTGTCTTACCGTGGACACATGAACATCAAGGCTTTTGAAGATACTTTTGTAACCATTTCCAGCTTCATGCAAGTCAACAATTCTTGATCGTAGGTCTTCTGAGAGCTCTTTTCTGTGAGGCATGGTTCACATCAGACAGTGCTTCTTGAAACCAGTAAACCCAAAACAGGTGTGTGTTTTTTTTAAGGGCAGGACAGCTGTCAGCAACACATCCAATTTCATCACACTGATTGGAGTCAAGGTTGGCTCACTCCTGGCTCCAATTAGCTCTAGGAGAAGTCATTAAGCTAGGGCCTCACATACTTTTTCCTCCCTGCACTGTGAATGTTTACATGTTATGTGCAATTAAACCATGGCAACATCTAATGTTTGTGTAGTATTATGTTCAGCAGACTGTGTTCTTCTTTTGTTGTGACTTAGATGACGTTCAGAGCACATTTTATGCCCAATTCATGCAAAACTCCACGTAATCCCAAGGGGTTCACATACTTTTTCTTGCAACTGTATGTGGGCTCAGGAAGAGTGTAAATATTTGGAAGGGTTGTCCCCTAAGCTTGCGCTTGTGTAGCAGGGTCAGGTCTTTGCCTTTGTCCAGGGGATGAAGCACTGATAGAAAGGGGTTTTGTTCTCTTAGGGGCCTGAACCTTGGCCTAAAGACTACAAACCTGGCCCTTTGCAGAGGTGCAGGAAATAGGAAGATAGCTACCCGTCTGGAATATCTTTTGAGGAGTTTGCTGTGCCGTATTGTGTCCTGGACAGCTTAGAAAAAGCTGCTGCTGGAGGACATTGCATAGGGATTTATGTTTTGCAAAAAATTCAAGAATTCAAATATTCGAAGACTGTGCTGCTACAGAGAATCAAATATAGGGAGGTTGTTACTGAATTATTAGAACTGTCATCGTCTTTGCTGTTGAAGAAGGCTGCATTAATGAACCACTATCAGTTTGCTATTATGTAAAGGCCTGAGATTTGTTTGCTGTTCTTTTCTGTATCCTGCGCCCATAGCCTTCTTTCCACAAATTGATTAAATAACTCTTTAAAAATAAAAAGAAAGCCTGGTTGTTACAAATGGTGGGTCTGTATTTTTGGGTGCAGCTATAGCGTGGGTCACCATTAGGAAGGCAGGAGAGTGTAGATAGATTGAAAATACTCAGTGAGTTAGGAACTGTGCCAGGCTGGGTTGGGAAGGGGTTAATCTTACTGCTTCTGTTTTTTTGGAGCATCAGCCTGCCCACCTGTGGTATAAATTGGGGGAAGGAATTGGGGGAAGGCTTAGGTCCGAAAGTCCCACTTTTCTCACAGAGAGCCATCTGAGAGTTCCCATACTGTGCAAGCTGTCCCCATTTCCAAGAGGGCTCCAAACCATCTGTCCTCTGTACCGATGATCCTGGGATACTACCATCTATGGACTATGTCACCATGGCATTGGTGAGCATGCTTCTGGCAAAGGTACTCCTGGAGCATGGATGTGGTAGGCGTAGTTGGTAAAACACAGCCACCCTACAAGAGCCCATACAATTTTAGCAGCTTTGTTGAGAGTACATTCTACACTAGAGATTTTTTAGATTTTTATTGTCCTCACTGGAGGAGATTTTGCAACACCGCAAAATCATGCTAGAGACATGACACAAAAGAAAAATCACCTGATTGTGAAGTGAAATTTCAACTTCAACAGATGTCCCCAGGAGAGGTGTCCCTATAGGATTTCTCACCAATCCTAATTCTGAAGATTGACTGACTCCTTTTTGTTCTGGGAATAAAATGCAACTGGTCCAAAAGGAAAGGAAAATGGGCAGCAACTTACTTGCAGATCTTTCACCCACAGTCACAGGCACTCCATAGATCTGAATTTCACACAATGTGAGATACCAGGTTTTTCCCCTGAGGATGACATTCACATATTGTCCCTTCATATTAGAACAATTATAAGTCTGAGTGCCACCGAGTGGTATTGATGAAATTGTAGCACATCTGCACACAGAAAAAATGCATTAAAATAAATGTGGAGATTAAAAAGTTTGTTGACTATGTTTTATTTTTCCAAAAGGAAGCAGAGCAGATAAAATGAGAGGAAGAAAAACAATCAAAATGGAAAGAGAAATAAAAGATAGGATGGCAAGGATGAGAGGAGAGGAATAGGGGATAAGATGGGAAGAGAAGTAGAAGAAAGCAATGGGGAAAAGAAAAGGGAAAAAGGGGAAAAGAAAAGGGAAAAAGGGGAAAAGAGGGGAAATGGGGAAAATAGGGAAAAAGGGGAAAAGGGAAAAAAAAGGATTGAAGAAAAGCAGAGGAACAGTGCAGACGATGAGGTGAAGAAAGGGTAAGGTGGGATGGAATGTGGAGGAAAGGTGGGCAGAAGTGGGAGAAAAGAGTGCAAGGTGGGAGGGGAAGAACAGGAAAGTAGGAAGAGAGGGCAAAAGGAAAGGAAGAGAGGGGTAAGGAGAAAGGGAAGGAGAGAGGGGGGCATGGCACAAAAAGAAGAAGGGTCAAGATGGGAATGGAAAGAAAGAAAAAAATTCCAGGGATAAGATGAGAAGAATAAGAATGGGCAATATTGAAAATGAAGACGAGGACAGGATTACAGGGAGTACAGAAAGAGGTATAAAGGTAGGAAGGGAATGAAAACTAAGGGCAGGGGATGAGAGTAAGGAACAGAAAGGAGAGCAGGAGATAAGAGAAGAGGAGGAAGGGATGGGCTGGAAAGAGAGGAACTGAAGAGGAAAGCGGGGTTGAGGAGGGCAGGGGGTGGGTTTATTTATGGAAAGAAGGAGAGGAAAGAAAATCAAGAATGAAAGAGGAAGAGGTGGTGTAATTTGGGAAGAAAAGATGAGAAAATTAGGGCAGGGGATGAGAAGAAGGGAAGAATGGGAAAGGTGAAGCAAGAGAAGAAAGGGAGGAAAAAAAGAAAAGAAGAAGCAGACAAAATAAGAGGATATTTAGAAGAATGAGATAAGTAATACTGTAGAATAAAAAAAAGAGACAGAGGAAGAAAAGAGATATTGAGAAGGGGATGATAGCACAGGAGGAAGAAACAGAGTGAAAGAGAAGATGGACAAAGAAGAGCTTGACAAAGAAAGGTGATGGAAAATGAGAGAAGAAGGCAGATGAAAGGGGGCAGGACAAGAGAGGAGATGGAGAAGTTTAGAAAAAAAAGAGTTGGGAGGAAAGATTTAAAATCAGGAGAATGCAAGGAGAAGGGGAGAAAACTTTGGGAAGAGGGGAAAGAAGTAGAAGACAGGAACAGGATGAGAAGAATGGTTGGAAGAATTAGAATATCAAATATACTTAGGATTATTATTGCCATTGTTGTCCCGTGAGTCTCCAATGAGAATTTCTGCTCCATCAATGTAACTTTCACAGCAGTCCCCTCTGTTGGTGATCATTATGTGGGATATTTTATGAGTTGCCAATAAATCCACTCTAAGCCAAGGTGAAGCCTCGAGCTTTAGAAGAAAAACAAGACCCTTGCCAAAAGTTTGGGTCCAAATTTCCATCGATGGCATTGATTGATGAGCTTAAAGAATCAGTAGAGGACTGAGTAGAGCGGCTCTGAAGAGCAACATTTTTATCTGGTTAAACAGAAAAATAATCTAATAAGATTTCCAAAGTAATGTTTAAACTTTTTCTGTTTTTCTTCTGATGATTTAAAGAAGTTAAAAACGTTTAAGTCAAATGCAGATTTTCAGTAACATTATTGAAGTTACCCAATGAAATACAGAAGCTAGTGGTCCATAATCAAGTCAGTAGTTTAAACCTCAGCATCCCACCAATGTAAGAGCTTCATCTGTTGAATAGATGGGTAGTCCCTCAATCATCAGATTGTGTTAAGAGATGTTAAAACTGTTCACACACAAACCAGACAAATGTCTTAAAGCAGTATTAAACCCAAAAGCAAGCATTTATTACATTGCAGCTTACACTTTTTTAGGTGTGACGGCTGCATTCGTTTTATTTGTTAGGTTTTCTCTCTTTTATTTTCACCTGGTGATCTGGCTGGTACGTTTTCAACAGAACAAGTTGTCCTGCTGATGTAGCAATTTGAGACAAAGGAGGAAACCATCTACCACTGACAGGGGTACTTCCAATAATCAGCTTATATTTATTCATTTATTTATTTTGACTCCGCCCCTTGAAGACGTCAAGTGACGAAACGCGGTGGGCCTGGCCTAGTGGACGTGACGTTGGAACGTTCCTCCCAGCTGTCGGCTGTGTTGATCGCGGTGCAGGAGGTTCGTCCCTTGGTTTTTCCCTTGTGGATGTGGCATTTTAGAGGCTGTCATTGCTGATGTCGGCTAGACACCTTCTTTGTGAGTGCAATACTTTAGTAATAACATTTTACTGGTTTTAAACGTTCTGCACCATCATATCTCTTCTTATTCCTCGAGCTTTGCCCATGTTATTGGAAGATCATTTGCTGCTTAGCTGTTCCATATGTGCTGCCTAGCTGTTCCCATATGTGCTGATTGGATCACTATTGGTTGCTGTTCCTCTACTGGGATATCCTGCAGATCATCGCTCCCAGAGCAAAATGCTATCATGCTGGTTTATAATATAATCAGCATATAGCTCTGGTGAGTGTATTCATTTCATCTGGTGTTGGATTTGCACATGGGTGTTTTGTTTTCAAGATTGACATTGAGTAGATATTGGACTATCACTGTTATGGTGGCTAGACTTATGTTTATATTTATGAATTTATTTATTTTTATTATTTATCCTTGCATGTTTTGTGAATAATTAGCGCACTTTTTATTTGTACACTATATATATTCATGTAAAACCTTTATCTAAAAAGGAAAAAAATTACTGATTCTTAGATTTTAAGCTCTAACAAGCAGGGCCCTCTGAATCCTCCTGTATTAATATGTATTGTAATTGTACTGTCTGCCCTTTTGTTTTAAAGCACTGCGTAAACTCTGGGCGCTATATAAATCCTGTCTAATAATATTAATAATAATAATAGTAATTGTTTATAAAGTTTTAGCTGGAGTTTGGATTCATTGGATTCATTGTGTTTAATCTGCTTGTACATCTAGCACTACACTACTCCCAGACTAACAATGCTGCTATCCAAAGATGTCTCTGGCCCCTTTCTTCCAGATTGGAAGCACTCTAGTATAGGTGTGTTGCCAGATCACCGGGTGAACGCAGAGGGGAAAAGCCTAATTAATTCAGCCAAAACATCCAAGGATTAGTAAACTGAATATATGATACACTCACCGGACACTTTATTAAGTACACCTTGCTAGTGCCAAGAAAATATCCCCCACACCAATACACCACCACAACCAGCCTGAACCGTTGATACAAGGCAGGATGGATCCATGCTTTCATGTTGTTTTACACCAAATTCTGACCCTACCATCTGAATGTTGCAGAAATCAGTCTACCCATTCTCCTCTGACATCAACAAGGCATTTTCGTCCAGACAACTGCCGCTCACTGGATATTCTGGACCATTCTCTGTAAACCCTAGAGATGGTTGTGCATGAAAATCCCAGTAGATCAGCAGTTTTTGATATACTCAGACCAGCCCGTCTGGCACCAACAACCATGCCACATTCAAAGTTACTTAAACCCTCTTTCTTCCATATCCTGCTCGGTTTGAACTTCAGCAAGTATTCTTCACCACAACTAGATACCTATATGCATTGAGTTGCTGCTGTGTGATTGGCTGATTAGCAATTTGTGTTACCAAGCAATTGAACAGGTGTACCGAATAAAGTGATTGTATTTTTGTTTTTTGGGTTTAATGCCGCTTTAATGTCACTTATCTTAATAATTAACCTAATGTTCAAAAGATAGACCTAGGTTAGATCATTATAAGCACCAGTAAGAAGGAGAGTACATTTGTAAAAAATGTGCACAAGGCACCCTTTCACCTGTCAAAACCCATGATACAGGAACGTAAAAAAATCTACTAGCATCAATGTAAAAAACATAGGCTCCCTACTGTTCATGAAACAGTCCCAAATCTGAGACATTGATGGACCCATTGCTCATCACCGGTCATATTCATAAGTGCTTTCCACAAGTTTTCCTGGCAGGACAATACTTTACAAATGACAAAATGTAGGCATGTTGTGAACCACGCTCCTGAACAATAGATATTTGCTCACATTTGTGCCTGGTATGATGCTCCTTGTATTCTTTTTCTAGGCATGACAAAATAAATGCTTGGATTACTGTACTTACAAATCTCAGTGCTGCCAGCCAGAGTCCACAAGAGGGCACACGTGAACCAAATCATGATTCCTGTAGTGGCTTGTTCTCTAATGACATGAGTGAGTAAACCTGAACAAAAAAGAATTAAGTCACATGAAGGAGCAAAGATTTTTAGTAGATTCAGTTTCATATCTTGTCCTGTCCAACTTGAGGATTTAGGTATTCTTTAAGAACAAGCTAGATTAAAATCTGTGCAGCAAACAGTAGACTTCAGCTTTAAGGTAGTAGTAGAAATAGTAGTTAACTGCAGGGCTTTTTAAATCTATTGTCGCTGGCGGATCTATTGTTGTACTGGGGTCCACTGTTGCTGGGTGGGTCTATTGTTGCTTGTGCAAGATCTATTGTTGATGGAGGGGGTATTACATTTCTGGGGGTGGTCATTTGTTGCTGGTAGGGATCTACTGTTGAAGGGGAAGTCTGTTGTTGTTGGCTGCTGGAGGGTCTATTGATTTTGGCTAATGAGAGTTCTATTGTTTTTGGGGGGTAGGTCCATTGTCACTGGGGTGGCTCTGTGGTTACTGGGGAGGTATTTTCTTGCAGGGCAGTCTACTGTTGTTGAGGGGGAATCTCTTGTTTCTTGAAAAAGTTCTATTGTTGCTGGGGGGATCTATTATTGCTGATGGGTCTATTGTTGCTGGGGGTATCTATTGTTGCTGGATGGTCTATTGTTGCTGGCTGCAGAGTATCTATTTTATTGCATGTTTTGTTATCATTAACAAATTTCATACAAATTACTTAGCACCACAAAATTATACTTGGTTCTCTATGCCCTAAAAGGGGCAGTGCTGAGAGGTGGGTACGGGGTGGAACAAAGGGACGGTGCTCAGAGGTGGGTAGGGGGCAGAGACAAGAGATGACTCAGAAAGGGGAGTACCTGCCCCTATTTTCTGAGAAAAAAAGCTCTGGTTAACTGTAAACTCCTTTCTTACAGCCACCAGAGCAGCATCCCTTTAAGTAGAGGATTATCTGAACAAAGCTCTACAGGACACCAGCCATTGTCCCCTTTAACTAGACCCACAGCTGACTCTCTAGCACCAGAGGGGTGGCAAAAGTACAAAGGTCCCCAAGATCTCTTAGAAGCATCTGTACTCACACAAGGCCCACGGACAGCTGGTTGCCTCCTTCCAACTTTGAAGCGATACCTTACCAGACCAGATCTTCTGCAGCCCCCCTCAGTCAGCTTTCTCTAGCTCCAGGGTCTCAACATGCAGGCCCTCAGGTTGCCCATCTAAAGCCTCACAACAGCAGACATAGCAGCATCTGCCTGGAAGGGCAGTGTGTCCTCTAGGCTGGACTAATCCTCTCCAGGAAAAGAACCTGAGCTCAGTGTGCTCACAGAATATATACAGTCTCCCAGCATGCCATCAGAGCCTGCCTCTCTGGGAGTGGCCAGGGCTGTATTAATGCTCATGTTGCCATGTGCATAGCTCCACACTTATCATCCAGAAACTTCTCAAGCTCTCTGGATGCAGAGGGGGCTATCAGACAGACTGGCAGCAGCTGGACACACTGAGCAGACCTGACTAGCAGAATGCAACTGCATGGGAGTACATTGAGCAAACTATGATTTTACCAACAACAATCACAGACACACAGTGTGATAACTAAATTTACCTATAAAACACAAACTAATTCTATTTATGTAAAGCTAACACCTATCTAGGAAGATGCTACATAGAGAAAACCAAGGAACTGCAATAGGACTGATTTGTTAAAGCTTATCTCTAGGTAGATAAAAAGGCACAAATACAGCTCTGTAATCATTAATACATTAATAAATGTATTTTTTTAATGCAAGCTGGTTTTGAATTTGTTCACATGGGCGTACTACAGTATAGTGTAAGCCTGTGTGAGGATCATGTATGCTCACACAAGGATGCACAGGTGTTCCATGCATCCCCATGTAACCAGTCCCATTCATGTCAATTGGGACACATGTTGGATCAAAGTGCTTGCGCTTTCAGTTAATGTTACCAGATGTGCATAATGGTTCAAGGAACAATGTACCACCTTGATAGGAATTTAAAAATGGTTTTGAGTGCAATCACGTTTTTATGGCAATATTTAGTGATGAACCATATCTATGCCAAAGTTTCATCAGGCAAAAGAGAGCCAAGGTCAGCCTCTCATTTTGTCACATACATTTGTGGTGTCTTAGAGGAGGGGCTTAGTAGCAGGAATAAATTAGGATAATGAAGCCCAGGAGATGTGGGTCAGCCCAACATCAACGTTTATATGGTATGCAGGTGTCATAGGACAATTGTGTTTTGGAGATGCTGATGAAAAAGTTTCTGATCTTGAGGTACTGAAAATTTTCATAAGCAGGGATGTTGTGCTTATCTTTG